AGCAGGAATTTTTTTAAATGTGGCTTTCTTGGGAGCAGGGGTGGAATGTCTTAGTTAATACATGGCAATCCCCACCACAAAGCCTAGAGAAGAAATAGCATTCTAAAGACAAAAGCAGGATGATACCTTGGAATGATTGCATATTGATAGAGCAAAGATTTGCAAAAGGCATCAGTATCTCTTTACCTTGTATAGCTACCCTGTTTATACTCTATTAAAAACATCTTTCACTTGAACTAAGAGTCAAGACACGGGGAGGGTTAGAATTACATGAGCTTCCCCCAGGTACTAGCACTGGATGAACCTCGTTCTTCCAGGGTGCAACTTATTTATAGACTCTGGTCATTTGTTATGAAATTTACTTAAGATGGAAGCGAACGCTCCCAAAACAAAACTTCAGAAAAAAGTCCTTAAATCCTCATAATTATTAGATAAACTTTAAATCTAACATGCTTTTACTTAAGGAGAGGAAGAGAAAAACAATTCTTTCCTACCCTGAGTTGCCCTTTGCAATCACATGGTTTAGCTCTGCACAGCTACATCTGCCAAAATGATGTAAAATCTCTCCCACAGCCTTCTGGGAGGAAAAGCCCAGAAAACAATAAATCCTCAGTGGACTCGAAGGTTGGAAATAGAGAGGCAATGATCAATAGAAAAGCTGGTAAGACTTGGGAAAGGGGGAGAAACCTCAGGACAGCACTTACTGAATTACAGAGACCATCTGCATTTGAGAGTCCCGCTATGGTTCTCCCAAAGAAGAGTTAAGCATGTGACCAGGATGCACAATTAGGGCGACCACAGGGAGAGATCAGAGGAAGAGGATTAGACATTAATATATACTGTAATAGCACCAGAGGTCACAGTGGAGATTCTTCCTCTAGCACAGCTAAGAATAACACGCAGATAAGACTTACATCTTCTGGGACTGTGAGACCGCTGATTTTCTGTTGGAGGGGGAGGAAAAAAAAAAAAAAGAAAAGAAAGCAACAGGTCAGCAGGATACTTGGAGGAAGGAGACAAGTCCAGAATGAACCATTTATTTTTATTATGCTTTAGTCTAAAGAGTGTACAACAAGCCATATTGCTAAGAAATTTAACTGCTTGTTATTAGTTCCCCACCAAAAATAATACCGAGGCAGCTATATTCTCACTGTGGCAGTCACATCAGTAGCAACACACCAAAACAAATTCTGGGAGGCATAAACATTCAGTCCCTGCAAGAATCGAAGTTAACCAAAGACGCACATCTTCAGTGGGGCATCCTTGCAACATTCCTGCCTATTTGACAAAAGAGACAAAAATGCCCCTCTTTGTCTATAAAAGACTCTTCTGGAATATGGTATTGATTTTGAGATGTGGCTTTTGCTTTGTGATGAATGCAGCCAACCCCAGGAAAGCCATGATAAATGTTTCGATTTTAGAACATTTTTCATCAGTTGATGTTTGTTGCTAGGCTGAACCAGGAGCTACCAGTGCCGCCCCTGCAGAGTGCTCCATCGCTGGGGCAATCTGAAGTGATTCTGAATCGCCAGAGAGTTTTTCAAGGCCAAATTTCAGATTTCAGATAAACAGTACTGGGAGTGTTTACACATCTTCTCACCATGTGAAGAGGCCACTATCTTCTTCCTTTCTTCCACTGTGGCTAGTCGCCTCCAGAGCGAGGGATATCTCTTGTACAGGGAACCCCGAAACATACGCAAGTAGTTTCCCACCTACAAGAAGAAAAGTGGAGACGTGGCCTGGTATTCCATTTAAGAGATTTTTAGCAGACGCTGAAACAAATTCAGCTCTTTGTAATGGTAGGAGGGACCTCCTAAGAGGATTTTTTTGTTTGTTTTTCATGATAGACTGACTGCACTGGGTTTGGCATCATACAGCACTGCAATTTTGGGGGCAATACAGAAAACAAAATTTTTTATCAGCACTTATTTCACTAGTCTGATATGAAAAAACTCCCATCCGTTGACAATAATCCATTTAATAGGGAAAAACTCCATTCATTTTCATGTATTTTTGAACAACCTAGCCTTTCTTTACTTCAATTTCTGTTTCAATGCACAATGCTCAGTAGGAATTAAATCAAACCAGATACCCAGCTCTCTGACAGTTACCACTTTTACTTTGAACCTCTGTGCTATCTAGACGTTGCTCAAATACAGCAAACGCCTAGAGACTTGTATTTTGTTTTAAATCCTTTGAACGTGTAAAATGTGATTGCTGCCAATAATCCTCTTTCAAATTTACTTACCATCTGTAAAGCAGTTCTGCTCTTCCTGGCACAAGATCCTCACCTGTGCTGAAGGCTACAGCAGGACTTGCTGAACAACAGAACTATTTCTAGTCTCTGAAATCAAATTTTTAGACTGGTAGTACACTGGCAGACTGCCACAGAATACGTTTTTTATTCCTTGTTTGACAAGACTTATTTTGATCTTAACATCTATTTTCAGGTAATTTTTAATTGTATCTGTTGCTCTACAGTGCTCATCAAGAGACAGAAATTAACGGTATATAAAAAAAGGCAACCCTTTTTCCCCTTCCATGTGTCTGGCATGGCAATCTCGCAGATTAGCCGACTGCAGTTACAGTTCTTCTTTCAGACTCTACATTTCACATGAGAGTGAGGGGCCTTTAGTCCCCACTCAACCTATACAGCTGGCAATTTAACTTACCCAATATTTCCTTTTTTGCATCAAGAGGGGGGTGGCTAAAACATTTTTTTCCCCGTTTCCAACCGTGATCGTTTCCCTGGTGCTGAAGCACCAATATTTCTTGCTTCAATAAGGCCAGTCTTCAGGGCAGCAGAACAGCCTCTCAGCATGAGAGAATATAGTCTCCGCATATACACCGGGGTGCTAAGATGCTGCATCCCGGCATTTGTTGGCAAGACTCATTTGCACAAGGCTGAGAAGCTGAGCTGGCTGATTTTGGTGGTGTTACTAAGCGCAAAGGCCTCGGTGTGGACTTAACTACCTCACGGCATGTCAAATAATCCAAACTTCTGAACAAGCGTGCTACAAAAATTCGTAAATGGAGTATCAGGGAGCGGGGCCCCAGGCTGCGATCAGGCGAGCATCTGGGCTCTACGTACTCGTGCGTGTCTCCGAGGGCCGCCCTTACCGGGACCGCTGGTCCCAGCACGG